GGACTTCATATCTGGGGGGGCACACAAATGAAGGCTTGGCGTATACGTTCACAAAGCGGTGCTGCACTTGTCTCTGAGGGTGCAGCAAGCCTCAAGGGTTCACCTTTGTCCATGCTTTCTGAAAGGGGAGAATCTGATATCCCATCAACGAACCCCTTCGATCTACCTGAGATCTCTGACAGCGGAATGAATTTCACAGAAACCTTACGCACAGCTACGTCGACATACGGCGCTCATCTCGGATAGCCGCACCTGTCGTCAGCAGCTTTTCCAGTTCCCACACTGTAGGCGAATGGCAGGAAATACACGCATGTTTATGCTTCGCACCTTTGAAGAGGCAAACAGCACTTGTCTGCCGCCCAAAAGAAGCACCAACACCAATCGTTCATACATCATCCGGAAAGATTCCAGAACTACCCAACACCCTCCACGCTTCAGTGACTTTGTCAAGAAGGCCCAATATTTCTTCCTCTTCTTCGTCTGTGTCATGGTCAGATTGTTGCTCCCCCATGCGGTGATGGCCTTCGTCATCCCCGCCAGAAGCGTCCGATACTGTCTTGGGCCACGCCGCCTCTTGGCTTCTTTCTCCGGAATCGCCGAGGCCAGGGCCACTCACAGTATCAACATGATCTGAGGGGGAAGTACCTGAAGAAGTGCTGAAGGACGATTTATAGGGCGCGGGAGTAGGAGGAGCAAGAGTAGAAAGACCCTTACGAGCATGTCTGCCAGAACGTGAGTGGCGATTAGCAGAGTAAGAGCGCTTACTTTTGGTTGTCTTTCCACTGTCGGCCCTAGAAGGTTCCAATCCTGCTACTGCTGGCGAAGGTGCAACTCCCCCAGGTGTCCGCATCTCTTCTGGCTGGGAGCCTCCATGAGTTGCAGGAGGCGCAAAGCTTTCCCCAGTGTCTCCCGTCGATTGCGGCCAACCCCAATAGCCGGAAGACCCTGTTGGAGGTTCAGCAATAGACGGATGCACTTCCGCGCCACCCCATGCTGCTGGATCCGTTTCTGAAGTGTCATACCCATACGCCGCTTCTGACCCTTCCGGGATATTTCCCAACTCGAATGAAAAATCTCCGGTTGAGTACTGTTGACTCGGGCCGTGCCACGTAGGGTCTCCTTCTAGTTGCGCACCAAACCCAACCTCTGTATCCTCAACTCCCACTTGTAGCCCCTGGCCAGTGGAATACTCCAGTAACATCCCTGAGCTTTCTTCGTAACCAACTAGAGGCTGTTGCTGGTCGTCGCCGTAATATTCTGGAAAGGTTTGCCAGGAACGTGAGGCCGTTGGAGCCCAACCGGTCTGATCCCCGTAGTACGCATAAGGGCTTGAAGAGCTGGCGGGGAAGGTAGCTGTTCCCGGGTACTGTTCAGGTTGTTCCGAATAACCTGCATCCCTAGGCATCAGATAAGGTATCTGTGGATGCGTATCATCAACGTCAGCAGAACTGGCATCAGCAGCAGCTGCAGCACCACCAATAAACGACGATGACGATCCGGGTTCGATTGACGCAGGCCTTTGTGTTGAACTTCCTTTGACGAGTGAAAGATAAGCAAGTCCACCTCTTTGTTGCAGATTTGCGTCCAAAGCAGATACGAAATCCTTCAACGGAGATATTGGCTGCTTGTCAAGCGAAAACGCTTTGTCTCTGGAGAAGAGGACAAAGTCCTTGATGTTCATCTGAGCATGCAGCAGATGCCACATCGCCGCGGCGTCACGCAGGAAGCGATCGCAGATCGCTTCCATCAGAACATCCAGTAGACTGCAGATCCAATCTAGATCTTCGTCGGAAAATGATACGCCGTGGGTGAGGCAACACCGCAAAGAGGCGATAATTGCCCCCAGACGCTCATTCATAACTCGAATCGTTCGGAAGCTACCGACGACCCTTGTTTTGTGGAGGTCCCTCTTCATTTTCTGGGCGTCTTTCCGGGGTTTCATGACTTGCTTCGTAAGTTTAAGCAAGGACTTGGTCAAGTTTGTGAAGGGAATGTGTTCCTCCGGGTCGTCAGGCTCACTCAAGGCACCCTTGAGAAGTTCCACCAAGGACTGGCCAGCTGCTTCTCTCGCCGATTCTATATTCGCAGGATTCAGCGAAAGCACTCCCAGTTCAACTACTAGAATCTTGACAATCTTAAAGACCACTTTCAAAAAATGTCGTCTCGGCATATGAGTTTTAAGTTCGTGAACCAACCCCGCCATGCACGATATGCGGTTCAAATAGAAAGTGTAGACGCTCTGCGCATGCAAAGGCATATCCCGGTTCTCCCACCCCTCCTCATCACGGACATATACAGTTACAACCTCTGTGGCTTCTTCAACGCTCTCTCCACCATCGTTGCCAGCATGATCAACCCAGTCTTCGGGCGACTGTCCTGGGCCATAGTTACTCGGAATCCTAAATCCTTCTTCCCCGCCTCCTCCAGAGCACTGTCCTCCCCAGTAACTTCCGCCGGCTGCAAGCGCTCTACTAACTCCATGATGTCTGTATCCCACGGAGAGGATATGGAAACAATGGAGCACCAGATACAGGGTAGTTAAAGAGGCGATGGTGGCAGCTACCACGGGCATCCAAGGAGATGCGGAGGGTCTGGTCCGCGCGTGTCGCAAAGGCCTAACTGGCACCCCTAAATTAGCCCCCTTATGCGGATCCACACCGCCATCATCGCGGAGGTTTCTGCTGTGCAGCACCGCGTGTGCACCAACGGGAAGCTGCTCTGCAGCGGCGGCGCTCATGGCTCTCAACCGTAGGAACCATCCAAACCGCTAGGCGGCACAGTCTTCGCTAGCCCTTTACAGGAGAGATGCTTATTCACGTAGGATTTCCTTTGTGAAGAAAATTTAGAGAAAATGAGTCTAAATGCCTGAATCCCGGAAGAACCGCCGGGAACGGTCGGTGCTGCTGCTCCTACGCAGCTGGCAACACTGAGCACATATGGATGAAATGCGTAGAAGCATGAAACATGCACTAAAACCTCAAAGCCGAAGGGTAACCCATGCAGGTCACCGCACTGCTGTTTCCTCAGCAACAAAGGAGATGGGACACAATGGCCCCACGGTGCAGTGGTACCTAACCAGTAAATATTCTCTCTAGATTCATTTCCCCTCCAAAGCTCTTCTTTTAGATGAGGTTTAACAGAGGTTTAACATCTATTTAAACAACTTCAAACTTCTTTCAAGCAGGAATGACGAGGAAAAGAAACTGCGGAAATCCTGGATCGATTGTGGGAGCCACCCTTCAACGGGTTTTATCGTGTTCTCTCCCACCCCAGCACCAGAAGGGTCTAACCTTGTCAATCTCTAGCAAATTTCAGAGGATAATCTTGATTTTTTGAAAATGAGGACTGCCTGCAGGAAGATATGCAGCGTCATCAGCACTAGACGGTTAACCACTATCCCTCCATTTACGAGTCCACAGGTTCAAGGGCAATCGATGTATCAGCGCCACTGCGTGTATGAGCCCTTCTGTTACCCTCAACTAAAACCTGCCAATCTCACACTTCAAGCATGTAAAATCTCTGCATTTTCATTTTAGCCTCACGAACTACTAAGGATTTTTGTTGCCTTCCGGCACGCCGTTGTTCCTCCCTGGTCCCACGGTGAGCGCATGCAGCCATAGTGCACCGGCACTACAATGGTGCTCAAAACGGTCCTCTAGCGGCCTTTCGAGCAGAAAGAGTAGAGAGAAGCCTTAATGGAAATGAATCAAGTAACACTGGATAGAAAAAACAGCCTTGAGGCTAAGGCTGTTAGGGAAGCATGAGGCCGCCGGGCTCCCATCCCCAAAGGGGTCACGTGCTGAGTTATATTGGTCTTGGTCTTCCTCTTTGAATTTATGAGACTCGACTGCGCTTTTGAAGGGTTCTGCCCGTTATTTTGTTTAATCAATGGAACAATTGCTGAGTGCAGCGATATATATGGAGTGTGGACAAGTAGGTGTGTATAGGGTACTACTTAGTAACAGCCGTGGGTGAGAGCTGTTCTGTGCATTTGGGGACTACTCCGGGATATTAGAACCGGGAACTGAGGGCATTACTAGCTCGTTTTGCTGTCGGAACCATCTCATCAGGGACAGAGGCACCCATGCGCCTACAAAACGAGAATATCCGAGGTGAGGACCAGGGACGGAACCAAGAAGAGAAGTGGCACTAAAATCTGCACGGCAGTGCCGGATGATAATGAGGGATGTGCAACAGTCGAACGATTTGCTCACATAACCCTACTACCCGGGAGTGTGTCCTGTATTCGGGAGAGGCAAACCCAAGTCGTGTTGATGCGGTTGCCTCGGCAACGGGGAGACAACTTGGCAACCTTCCTTGATGTAACGGAGCTACGGTTCACGAAGACGGACCAGAGGAACCGGGGACGGTGGCGCAACGGAAGTGCAAAGACTCTACGGGAAATTGACGAAGCACTGCATGCTCGTAGAGATAGCTACAGCTCGGCGGAAGGGAAATCATACAGAGTACGCTGAACAATTCGTAACTGGACTATAAGCACTACTTGCTGTTAGAGGCAGCTACAGCTTGGCGGACGGGAAATCATACAGAGTACGGTGAACGATTCGTAACTGGTCTATTGGTGGTGGATTTCTGGAGGCGGTTCTCACTAGTTGAGGACAACTCAACAAAGGAGAGCCGCCTCAGCAGTCCAGCATATATTATGCACCATGAACCTGGGGGCCGAATGCAGCATGCAACGTGTAGATCACCGTCTCCGAAGAGCAAAAATTCGTTGCGGATTTCCACATTTCGTACTTGCAAGAGGGAATCGCAGTCAGCCTTGGAGGCGTTACCATTGACCAAGAAGAAGGAGAAGGCTATTACGTACGTGTCAGACGAGTCCACCCCGAGAGAGGCCTTTCTTGAGGTAGTGGGCCACGATGTTCGAGACTGATTTGTACACCGTCAGAGCACGGAGTGCGGTGCCGTATAGGAGAGACGGCAATATCAAGCGTAGGCATTCCGGGGAAGTGTTGTTCCACCTTGTTGTGTTTAAGGCTTCGCGCATATTTGTCAGCTCGTAGTGCGTGGAGCCTTTTGACTGGTAGACGAGCGTTGATTGGGGAATTTGAGTTTACCATGGCAGAAGGGCCAGCGGTGTCAGTAAAACGAGGAGTAATAGAAGTAGATCGGAATTGAGGCAGGCAACGTTCCCAATGATTGACTTGGTGGCGCCAGTATCGTATGATTTGTTGCTGGGGCTCGATTGGTTAAGAGCTTAAGA